CAATACTCGTCACAAATCTTGAAACACTTGTGTTCGTTTCCCATTCCCCAATGTTGATTTGTGTATTGCAGTCATCTGAGTACGCCAAAATACGCGTGGCTCAACATTGGGGAAGGAGAGGGGCACATTTCAGCGAGAACAAAGGTGCCAGGAGTAAATGTCAGAAATTTTCCAGAAAATTCAAGTGAAACGGTGTCTGTTTCAACGATTTGTGACGAGTATAGAGAGGAGAAGTGTGACGTCACGTTACCATGGTAGCACTATTTCTGAGTGACAACAAAACCAACGACGACGGCGACTACAGGAAGAACGGCAAAAAACAATATGTTCATTTTAATTAACAACAACTGAACAACTTAGCACGTGCATCACGCTATTTTGTACATTCCTTTGCCGTCGTTGCATCACTACGACATGAAACTTCTTAATTTCAAAAGCCCGCTTTACGGAGTAGGTGAACACAACACAAAAATGTTCGCTTTCTTTTTCTTAACTTACATAACGATAGATACGGTCGCAAAGAAAATTTCGCCAAGATTTGCCAAATTAAATGAAACTGAATAAGATCGGTGAAGTTTGAAATAGTGCTAATAAACTTTTAAGTGACTTTTTCGGTTTGTTGTCACCCTAAAGTTTTGCTTCCATGGCAACGTTACGTAACGACTTCTCCTCTCTATTGTAGGCTCCCGTAATTGCTGACAATGATGTGCAGATAAAAAGGGAATTCAACGTCTAAAACGCATTGTATTTTCATCTATTTTGCGGACCATTTGTCTCGTGACTCTAGTGTGTAAACTCTTTATCATCCAAATGTACTCTTATCTGACATGATAAATCTGATAACCCACATACTTAAAAATTACTTTTTTAAATCTGTAACGATACCGTCTTTCGATCAAAAGTATGCAATGTTGAGAATTAAATGGCCATAACATGACATTTGGCGGTAAAAACAAAAGTAAAGCTTTAAAATCATCTTTCTATGATTCCTGTTCAAACTATATATCTTTTCTTTCCCCATATCAGTTCAAAACGTGACATTTCTGCAATGAATTATAAAAAAAAAAGGCTTGACAAAAGCTTTTGTCCTCAGTTATTTTAGAACTTTTCTGAAGGGCAGACACCTTTGACAAAAGGGGGTTTCCCATATCAACTCAAGCTTTTAACAACCAAAATCGGTGGTCTTTGGCATGCAAACACAAAAACTAAACACTTGAGAAGTTCCCATTTGAACGTGCAAAAGAATAAATTACATTTACAATTACATTTACAAAGGTATAAGCGCTATATAAATATTTTATTATTTATTATTATTTCTGTTGCGCTCTTAAAAAGTTTTTTCAACATAAAAAATTATTACAATTTTTTTTTGGCTTGAGCGCTCAGGCCTTCACCCATTCGACCACTCTCATTTACCCACAAACTGTATCCACTGGCGTTCTCGGCGATCGTCCTAAAGTTGGTAGATGTTCTACTTCTTTCCATTGTGGATGTGGAATATTATCGATGAAAAAACAAGGAGGCTAGCTTCCGGTGGAAGCCAACCAACATCAGCGAAAGTCAAGTACTCTTGTACATTTTCTCCGCAGCGAATGTGTATCTATATTTTCTAAGAACATAAGTCTAACTTTAAAGCATATTGTTCATACTCCTTTTCACTGAACTACGTAGTCCACACAAATCCTATAAAAGGTAACCTTTTGCGACCTTCAATGAAGACCTACTCCTGAGGCATCTCTTGTAATTTGTCCTCTAAATTGTAGATATCTTCTAATAAACTCGTGACACTCAGGTTGTAACGTTGTCTTCTTAATGTTATTTTACCTTAAACTGAAAAACCACTAAAGACAGTCGTCCATCATGTTTGTTCACTTTCACTACCCAGAAATGTCATGCACGTATAACGAAACTGATATGCGGAAAGAAAAGATATAGTTTGAACAGGAACTATAGTCAGACGATTTTAAGGCTTTACTTTTCAGTTTCAGCCGTTAACCGCCAAATATCATGTTATGGTCATTGAATTGACCGCATCAGCCACCTTCATTGAGGAAACAACCCTGTATTCATGATGTCACCGCTAACTTCAACGTATTTCAGAATTATACATTTAAATGTTTTCCTTAAATTCTCCTGTCAGGATAGTATGTACAGCAACTCGGAGCAACCATGACGATTATTCATTTCCAAGATGTTTATCATTTCCTCCTATTCCATTATTTACGTTCCAACTTGACCGAAACGGGAAACCACGCATAAAAAGTCTCAGGCACCCAGGGTAGTGATCGAATATATTGTCGGCGAGGGCGTTAATGTTTTTCATGAATGAATTTAAGCACTCGACTTTGTTTCTGGCGAGCACAGTTTCAAGCGTTAGCTCACTGATCGTCACTGGTAATATCCGAAGAACCCTGAGTAGACTGATTCGGGCAAGTTTAAAGACCATCACAGACGGGTTTTTTATCAGGAGCAAAACAATTTCGTAAGTACTTTTTGCGATAAAAATCCTTTCTGATTTTTATTGCTAGTGGGCATAAAAGTACCGCATTCACAGTCAGTGAGCATAAAGAAGTATCGAAGTCGCCATGACGACCGGAGTAATAAGTCTTGTATTGCTTGCCTTTGTGTCCATTGTGATGTACTTTGTGATGAAAATATACTCAGTTCTGAGAGACTTTGAGCGCAGTTTTCAGCCAGTTCACGATATTGAGATGGACGCTACAAAACAGACGGAGTTGCACGGTGGAGTAGCACCAAGACAGAGACAAAGCCTCATTTTGATGGTCGAGAAGTACGAGAAGACCTCGCGCGTTCCACAGGAACATGACGAAAGGGTCGGCGAAGTAAGTGAGTTAAAGTTTGTTCAGAAAAAAACTTTGAATTGTGTTGGGCTCAAGCTAACGAAACAAAAAACGGCCGGGACAGTGACTTAACCTCAACTCGTCTAAAACGTTGCTTTCCTGTGGCCTTCAAATTTGAGCAAGTTTTGCTAGTTTCTGTTCTTAAGAGTTCATAGCGCTGAATGAGAACTGTTACGGACAAAATCAGGCCATTTGGAGGCTTAAATTGACTATCAGGAAAAACCTAGATTTTTAAGTTGCATTTGAAGGAAAAAAATCCAAGATGTGCTTTTTACGTTTCAGTTGTTTTCACATAACTTTTCACGAAAGATGTTTCGTTACAGAGGCATGCTCAACCAACTTTTATTAACGAGGTATACTCGAGTTTAAGAACAACATTTCTCAGGAAAGCAAATCTTGTCAAGCGCCGCTAATGCGATTGTTGGAGAGTCATGGGCATTTTTTCCACCCCTACTTCTCGCAACTGGCACTTGCGAGCGTAGGCACCCCACGAACCTTTAAGAAAAACAAGAGACCGCTCGTAGTCTAGTATGTGACTACAACATCCGTGTACATCTAATTCCACTTGCTTTTATTTTGTTAGGTTATTGCGGCTGGGAAGTAAGCAAGACCAAGATAAAGCTGGTTAATTTCTACGTACGGTGTACATATTGTGTATATATGCGATGCTTTCATATAGGAACTCTGAATTAGAGTTTCGATGTCTGAGAATTGGATGAATCGTCACTTTATTTTTGATACTAGTGCTAAAAAGATTTTTATAAGAGAAGCTCGATAAAGTAACGTAAATACTATGTACGTATTCGCTCATAACCGCAAGATTGCGACAAATAGATTGAAAACCGTTTCAATTTGAGGTGTTTGTGTTCTTGACTGAAAGAAACGAAAGAAACATTTTTCTCAACATTTCTGAAGTGTTTTTTTTTTGTAAGTGCCATGGCTGAGTCTTGTAGTTTCTTTTGGTTTTCCTCGCAATTTGCCTTTATGTTGTTATCTTTTTTTCTTGTGTAAAAATCACGCTTATCCATGACTACCTCAGCAGTGTAATGGCTTGACACTTGTACGATGTCAGCTGATACTATATTTTTCTTTCCGTTTTTTCAACAAGAAATGGGAAAAAAAACAACGAAAACGAAACCGAAAAAGAAGGAAACGGAACTACCTTTTTGGCAACCTCGTTCCCAGGTTCTCTAAGACGTGAGAACAATACAATATAAAAGAAACATCTGAGCATGCCGGAAGCTTAGTGATTATCCTATTTGTTCGACCATGCATAACCTTGTGTATCAATGAGATTTACATGTCTGTTGCATGTTGTTTCTATAAAATAAACTAAGGCGCTCGCCTTGTTTCGATACGATTTTCATGTTAGTTTTCCTCAATAACCACTTATGTATTAAAGTTTGACATGTCACAATTTGTGGCAAAATAGAAATAAAGATAAGATAAAAAGACAAGATAAAAGTATCGCCTGGTACTCAGATATAATTTTGCGCATTACCACCAATCACCCGAACTATTGTAGAACTAGGCTGCGTAGCAAGCGTCTCCGCGCGAGTTCCGCAACTCGGAGGGTCGTGAGGTCGATTCTCTCACCTAGAGCTCGGAATTTTTTCGGGCTTTCTTCTGGTGTTAGAAATCTCCTTCTTCCAAATTAAGACAATAGGTGAAGGGTAAAAAGACCGCTCTTAATGTATACATCTAAACTTCGACACTTTCATTTAGAATTGCGATAAAGCCTTTTTCTTCGAAAAATAAATAGTTTAAATGGTGCTCAATCGCGCGCGCCTTGACCACAACAATCACCGGAGGGCAAGCACCATTGAGTACGCCAGAGCAATTAAATTTCTAGAATGAGGTTTCCGTTTGGAACCTTACTGTTGCTAAGATACCAGAATTCTTTTTTTAATATGGATCTTCCGAGCGAGAAAGTTATATTCCAGTTTTCATTAAAAACTCAATTATTCAATAGAGGGACGAACGTCGTAAATATGCTAAGTGTTGAACCATGACCGAGTACTTATGCATTCAGTTCAGTCCATTCTATGCGGTTCGTGACGTTGCTCTTAGTCCAAGTAATCTAATGTTTTGCAGTAAGCTAGGTTCAGTGGAAACTGGAGTGAACAATATGCTGCTGTTCTAAGAATAGACTGATGGTTTAACAGTGCTTTCTCCAGCGCGCCCTGCCGGAGGGCGTTTAATTACACGTGACAACGACAATTTTCTATTTAACCGTTTCGGTGCGCTGAATGGGAAACACACGTCACTGGTAATGTCTGAGGAACTGTGAGTGGAGTCTTGCAAGCTTTGTCGTATTGTTTCGAAGAAAATCCTTTCAGATATCTGTTGCTGACGAAACATAAAAAGTGCAGCATTCCCAAACAGCCGACAGTGAACGTGAAGAAGTGTAGAGCCACGATTCTAATCATGACGACCGGAATGATAAGGTTTGTATTACTTGTCTTGATGGCCATTGTGATATATTTTGTGATGAAAATGTACTCAGTTCTGAGATCCATTGAATGTGACCTCCATGAAGCTAGGATATAAGTTACAGGACGGAAAATAGCACAAACTGGAATGGTACATCAGCAAACCCCTGTTTGGAGGGTTGAGAACACGGGGCGCGCCCCCGAGGAACATGACGAAAGAAAAATCCAAGTAAGTCAGTTTAAAAGGTTTGTTGAAAATTCACAGTGAAATAACGCAATTTCTCACGAAAGTAAGTCAAGCAGTTTATTCCACTGAACGTCCGGTCATGATCGCAAAACCATCGCCTTTTTTTTCTGACGCCACTTCTCGTGTCTCGCTTGGCCCCCTGCCCTCCCCTCCCCCCCACTGCGTACTACTATTAACTTTGAAGGAAAACTAACAAAACAACATCCCAACACATTAAATTCCATTTGCTTCTTATTGTTAGGTTATGACGGCTGCAAAGTGAACAAGACTAAGAAGAAAACGTCAATCAAGTTTTACCTTCATACTGTAAATATAGGCGATACTTTTATAGGAGCTTTAAACTCAGAATTTAGATGTCTTAGAATTGAATGAACTCCTGCACCTACATTTGTGATATTGATGCTGAAGAGCCCTTTTTAAAGTATGTGTGTATTTTCAATTTCTTATTATATGCACACGATTGTAACAAACACAGCTTTGATGAGATTCTGTAAATTTTTCACGTATTTGAACGTATGATGTCAAATAAGATCAAATAGGATAAAATATGACGCTGATTTTAGAAAAACTTTCAGTTTTTTTTCATATTTTGGTTACTTGGCTTCCTCTCCAGTTTCCTTGGATTTGTTTTTTTTTTTTTTAATTTTTTTTTATTTTGACACGGTTTTTACAAACACAAGTTTTATTATATTCTGTAAATTTTTTACGTATTTGAACGTATGATGTCAAATAAGATTAAATAGGATAAAATATTACGCTTATTTTAGAAAAACTTTTAGTTTTTTTTTATATTTTTGTTACTTTGCTTTCTTTTCAGTTTTCTTTGATTTTTTTTTTTTTTCTTTTTAACATCTATGTAATATTCATGAAATATAGCCATTAATTAATTGTTACTTCAAATCGTAACCCAATTCAATCGTACAGCGTTGAGACCCCACTGATAGGAAAGTTTATACTACCACTAAGATGGGATATTACAAAAACAATCTTTTGGCGGAAGTAACGTTTCTAGTACAGTAGGCCTCTTACGTGCATGCACTTTGTGGATTGAAACAAAGGTCAGTCTAGACAAAACATATTTTTGTCTGAATATAGATGAGTCGCCGAACATCGATACATTTTATAGAGGCGCACAACATCAGGCAGTTGATATGTTTGGGAAAAGGCTATTTTTGGCATAGAACAAGGACGACCTTTGTGTGATTACACAAGAATCACAAGCACGCAGACATTTTTAATGACTGTTTTTTTTTTTTAACTTTTTAACGTCATTCAACGAGGTATGTGTATGATAGAGGGGGACATTGGGTGTCGAAAAATCGACAAAACACCGATACTGCATTTATAATGATCACTACCCCAGCAGCAGTATCGGTATTTTGTCGATTTTTCGACACCCAATGTCCCCCTCTATCATACACATATCAAAAATTAGTGGAAAATAAATTTTGCGAAAATCCTTTCGACAGATTTCGTCTAGAATGTCCGGTAAAGAATTTGTTGGTGAAGTTTTTACGGAATTTTTTTTCTCGACTTTCTTTACAATCCACTTCCTGAAAACCATATGTTTTCATCATCTCTTCTGCAGGCAGGTAGTTCACGTGTACTTCTTGTTTGCTTTGTTTACATTTTATCATGTGGCTTAAAGGGCATCGTTTCAACCAATCACATTCAAGATATGATTCCTCGTAGAGGAATATTTAAACCCACAGGTTTTCCAGCGCTTCAAAGAGGCTTCCACTACGTTGAATGACGTTAAAAAGTTTTAAAGTCATTAAAAAGTTTCAATCTTAAATTGGATGTGTTTTATCGCGAAGTTACGCTACACCTGCGTGTCTGCGTGCATGTGCTTGTTGTGTAATCTCACAAAGGTCAACCTTGTTACTTAAAGTTGTATCCATCTAGGATGTTTGATTATCTCAAGCATGTATGTGTTGTGGTTCAACTTTATCCTTGGTTTAAATTTTATTTCCCTTTGTTTTTAACTCATTATCATACATTACCAGACCCGAAAACAAAGGGGGAAATAAAATTTAAACCAGTGATAAAGTTGAACCAAAACATATGCACCAGCAATTAACCTCAGACATCGTAGATTAATTGTCATGGTGTAATCATTGAACATTTATGTCTAAAGACTTAAAACTATTAACTTTTATCAACCGGTAAAGCTTACTACTTTTTTCGTTGCATATTGTATTGACCTATATTAGACAGGAAAGTGCAAATGAACGTGATACCGTGATACCGTAAAGGATCTTCTTTTACCAAATACCGTCACCTAAAAGGATAAAAACCCGCACTAGTACCGCAGGGCTAGATGATACCGCACTACCGCACATCAAACCCCAATCAACACCTTATCATAGGCTCGTTAAATTTTTCTGTCTTGGGATAGCCACTCTTTGTTAGTAATTGCAATGTTTTGCACTTCTATTCTCGAAGCAAGGACGGAAAAAAAGTCACTCGAAACGTAACCTCCCACCCAGGCGTGGGAAGTTAATACAATAGCAGAGGTAAAAGATAGAAATTTGCTTACCAGTTTCTGCACAGTATCCAGCTCTCCAGTTTTTGCTGCTTTGAACAACAATCGCTGACATTGCAGAGTAGTACCTGGAAAAATCTGATACAGAAACCTGAAAGGAAAAGAAAAAGATTATTTCCTACCATTATTCGTGGTAATTGTCAACTTTCAACTTTTCGAGAGGGGATAAATAACAAACTGGTGCCTTGGCATAATTTTTACTCGCAACTTAAACAAGCCTTTCCAATATTTACTTAGCAATAAAATGACATTTTAAAAAGGAAAAAGGTCTGTCAGCCATTGGCACGGACAATATCATTTATACGCGGAAAGCATTAAAAATTCGACTGATACTAGCCGGCCAGCCAGGGTAAATGCCAACGGAAGTGTGCTCAAAATCCTCTTAACGGTAAACCATTTTAATTGTTAACTTGTATATTTTTCTAAGTTATTGTCACAATTGTAGGCTGAAGAGAATCAACTTTAACAATCAGTGTTCATGAAAATAAGGCTGTTCTTATGTTGGATAATGTCCATATCTGTTCACAAGCAGCTCTATACCTTGCTAAGAGCATTGTTAGCACCTTATTAGGAGGTGGTCAGCGCGTCGAACTCGCAATCCAGCGGTCTCGGCCACGCTTCTAAATAGCCTTCTGGTTACCTCCTGCCAGTTGGGGTTTTTATCCTGTTATGTTGTATTTGAATTATTTGTTTACAAGGGCTGTTTTCCATGCCTTAGAGAAGTTATCTTTTAACATACCAGGATCCAGCCTTCAAAGTCTTATTTCTTGAAGAGCTTTCAAAATATATCTGAAAACGAGATGGATGAGGCGGTTGGTAAAAGGTCCTAAGGTCACCAGCCACAGGGATCTCAGATAAGGCGATAGTTCATAAAAAATAATACATGTAAATCAAGGTGGAAAATGAGCGTTACCTCATATTTCGAATTGTCACCACTTATCTCAGCAACTTGCTCTTCTTCCAAGCCAAGCATTTGTCGGACCGTCTCTAAAATAGGAGCAAACAGATGAACTGAAAAAATCTCCAGAAACAGTACGCAGTGCACAGTTAGGTGGGAATTACCTTTCTGATCAGCATTTCCAGAGAAGTCATCAAAAAATTCCCCTGTTATGACAAAAAGACAAAATTAATTTGCAAAAATAAATACTTATTATAAAACTTCTAGAACTTCTAGACGAGTATAGTTAAGTAGTCATGGCTTCGTTATTAANATCCTGTTATGTTGTATTTGAATTATTTGTTTACAAGGGCTGTTTTCCATGCCTTAGAGAAGTTATCTTTTAACATACCAGGATCCAGCCTTCAAAGTCTTATTTCTTGAAGAGCTTTCAAAATATATCTGAAAACGAGATGGATGAGGCGGTTGGTAAAAGGTCCTAAGGTCACCAGCCACAGGGATCTCAGATAAGGCGATAGTTCATAAAAAATAATACATGTAAATCAAGGTGGAAAATGAGCGTTACCTCATATTTCGAATTGTCACCACTTATCTCAGCAACTTGCTCTTCTTCCAAGCCAAGCATTTGTCGGACCGTCTCTAAAATAGGAGCAAACAGATGAACTGAAAAAATCTCCAGAAACAGTACGCAGTGCACAGTTAGGTGGGAATTACCTTTCTGATCAGCATTTCCAGAGAAGTCATCAAAAAATTCCCCTGTTATGACAAAAAGACAAAATTAATTTGCAAAAATAAATACTTATTATAAAACTTCTAGAACTTCTAGACGAGTATAGTTAAGTAGTCATGGCTTCGTTATTAAGTTAAATTCTCCTAACCTGTCCCTTTGTCTCTCAAAACCAGTTTACGACCTTTCCAAACTGTTTCATGCACCTTGCTACTGTAAAATCCTGTGCCACAAGTCAGGCTCTGAAAATAAGTTAACAAAATGAAGACGTAAACGACTGTCGGCTATTTCCCAAATATTACGCTTTTTGCGTGTTTCCGTGATGGTACGAGTTTTTGCATTAGTTTAGTATGACATATTAACATATGACATACCGTGGATTTGTTCTCGGTAGTTCGGAGTTTAAATCTTCGGCTACACTTGTAAAAGTTAAGATTCTTAAATTTGTTTTTTTTTATTTCAAATATTTGTCTCTTTCAGTTTGGGAGGGGGTGGGGGTGGGGGTAGTGAAAACATTAAACGACAAAAGCTTACCAGGTTAATAATCAGATCCACTGCAAGATCATTAATTGTAACATTTCTGCGAGAAAAGTAGTAACAGTGACAACAACAACAGTAAATAAAACCAGGGGACTTTAGGCTCCAGATAAAACGTACTGATAGAGTGGTGTCTACTTAGGTGTCATTAACCTGTAGCCATAGAAACTATTCTAGCCATTCTCAAAAGGCACAGACAATCAGAACGCGAGGCAAACCAAGCGGCTTGTAGCAAGCGCGCGAAAAAAAAATTATACCAACCAAGTTACAGTTGATTTTCTTAGCGGAAAAAAGGGCCGCAAAGATTCCAACTCTGTCAACTAAAAAAAAAGGGAGGTCTTAGGAGCGGCATAGCCGCTCCTACGAGTGCCGAAAGTGCGAGCCTCATAGGGGGGTCCTGGGGGCCATTTCCTGCACTTTGAGATCACAGTCAATGGAAATACTGCGCCCAAAATTATCGCAGGCTCATGGTCAGATGCCAAAAGGGTAAAAATGGCTGAGAAACCAAAACGGGAGGGTTGAAATTTCTGAAGGGGCTAAATACATAACGCAGCAAATCAAATTAGAAAAATAGTTCAAGTATACAATTGCAAAAGTTCAAGTTATATATATTGGCCTAACGATTATTAACCACAACAAACAGATAACACAAAGTGACTGCTAAGAGCCGGCCCTGAGTTGTTCTTATTACTAGTGCGTAAAACCTCAATCAAAATTGTCACAGCTATCCAAAACGAATACAAGGAAGATAAAAGCAACCTACTAAACTAAATGTTTTCGTATATAAGCACAACCAAAGCATAAAAAAACACCGAGACATAATGATACTTCAAAAGAATGATAATTTACAACCACAGCTACGTTTAACATACTGTACCTGGGGACTTTGACGACATCAAATCTTTGAACAATTTTCTCCGCGACTATTGCTCTGCACTGCAATGAAGTATAAACGAAACGTCTTAAAGTCGAGTTAATACTGATGAATGATAAACCGATGAAACGAAGCAATAATCCACCAGTTTTTTTAACCTTATTCTGTATCTCCGCGACTTGTCTCATCCATATATTGCACTTGACGATGTCATAATTTTGCTCCAAGAACTGAATTTCTGAAAACAGACCAGTTTGAATATGAACAAAAAAAAACTTGGAATGTAACAAGACTATACTGAAACATTGAGAATTGGCCAGCTGATGATTGGTTCAAACCTCCTAAACGACTTTTGTTGACACCCTATTTTCGCTTTACAATATTCGTGGTAGTTGACCTACCTTCATCGTAAACAGATATCAGATTTTCCAGTTCTTTCTTTCTTTTTAGATCCTTCACGTTCGTTATAAGCGATGGGAACTGCTCCATTTCATCTTTGATTCCGATTTTTAAAACGTTCAGTTCATCCTACAAAATACACCACAAAGTCTAAGAGGAATATTGTCCTTTATCCTATTTTTCCCGAGTCAAAAGCACCATTCTCACCTATCTTGCTAAACTGCTTGTAATATGAGCCGCTAAATTCTTTTAACCGGCTCCTTTTAAATAATGCACAGTGCTTGTAAGGAGAACTTACTCACCAATCGTTTGAGCGCTACTCTTGATTGTCGATACTTGTATCCGCTCATGAAGAAAAAGCCGAAATAGCAACAGACGGACATGATGTCACCCTACCAAGAATTTAAAAAAAACCATGCTTGAGAAATAGGAAACGACGTTCAGCAGAAATATTGATTTTTAAGAGTTACATGTAAGAATAACAGCTAAAAACGCACAGAAATATATCCGCACGAATTTCACGAATTACATAACTCATTGGTCTACCTGGCCAGCAAAGGGCACATTTTCCGGCGTGGTTTGAGCCGGCGTTCGAAAAGTTCACAGTTCACACCTCGAAAATGTAGCCTCTTTTCGCAGGGTAACACTGCTCACGAGGAAACGCAACATTTTTAGTACTTACATACCTCGACCAAATCTTGCGAGTCGAACGGATTTGAGGACTTGAACATCTGATTTGCAGTGGTTAAGGCGAGATTTATTGTCCATCTGTAAAGAAAAAAAGGCCGTTGTGAATAGTTTTGGAGACTTTCCTTAATTTAGTTTCAAAAAAGTATTCTTGTGCCCTATGAAACTAAATCTAAGTCGCTTAATATCAAACCTGTCATTTAGTAAGACTTCCGTGGTGAATGTTTCTGGAACAAATGAATTGACAAGAGCACAGAGCACCCTAAGAACAAAAAAAGAATCAACAAATTAGAGTATTTCTTGGTCTATTATATTTATCTTGACGTTGGTCGTGACGGAGCTTAAAAGGAACTTTAAAGCAACGCCCCTGAAGCAAGAAAGTTTAAGATAATTATTTGTTTCATGGAATAAGAGTTTTCTGCCGGTATTCACATACATACCTGCTATCTGTTAGGTCGCTTAAACTCTGCAAAAGACAGAACATAAAAGATCGATGTTTTAGACCACCAAGCCCAAACAAACGTTCAAATAAACATGACTACATTTTCACAAAAAAAAAAAACACAAGTACTTAAGTACAAGTACATATTTGCCAAGCCAAACTGCGAACTCATCATGCGATTTATTTTGATCACAAAAAATTACTTAAAACATCCAAAGTACCGTACTCAAAGGAAAAAAACTTTGTTAGTTCCCAGCAGTGTTCTGTAGCTGCATACTAGAGCACCTGTACTTGAAACAGACGTTTTAATTCCTGTTGGGAGATTTTTCTAAAATGCTTGTGTTACTCACAAAAAATTTAAACATCAATCTCAAACTTTGTGATACCTACCAAAACTCCCCTTGTAAGCTTGCGTCCCTCTCTGTTCATTTTGAGATGAGCATTCACCATGTCCAGAATGCAATACTCAGGTGATGGAAAATTCTTTGATCTGCGGCGCTTGGTTACCATATCATCTGACCTGCTATTGGTCAATGCAAGAACAGTAATAGTGACAAGAAATCATAAAAACTACCTTCTTAGAGCTGGAAAAATGAATTAAGCCTTGACCTTTCAACAGAAATCCTTGGTGATTTTGTTGACAACTCTCACGATCTGAATGACTGAGTATTTGAAGTAACAAAGAAAAACATTGAATGTTCTTTTACTGCTCACTAATGTATAGATTTAGCCAGGGCTAAAAGCAAAGCTCTCGATAATATTTAATTATAGTTTTGGCGTTTAGCAACGATGATTTTTAGCGCAACACAGCGTTGCAATGTTGGAACAATGTTGTAACCATTCCAAACAATGTCGCAACAATGTTGCAACGCTGTGTTGCGCTAAAAATCGTCGTTGCGAATCGTCTCGTGTAACATCACCTTAAGCGGCGAAGGCAACGAGAACGTTGAAAAAACAACAATAGGTCTAATTAGCACGAAAGCAATTTTGCACATGCAGCACACTTGTTTGTACATTTCTTTGCCGTTGTTTTGCACGACTATGACGTGAACTTCCAGAAACTTCCTGGTTACACGTTTTATGGAGGAAATGTCGTACGTGTTCTTGTTCACTTTTTTTTCACTGTCGCTCATTTTCACCCTGGTGGCCGCTAGCATTTCTCATTTTCTCACTGCCGCTAGAAAAGTTCATGTTGTTCCTCCAACAAAAAATGTCTCCTTTGTTTTTTCTCTCTCGCTCTAGCTCTTTTTCTCGTTGCGCTTCACTGGCCTGTTGCCCCACTTTCTCATTTTCTCCATCTTTCTCTTTCTCTACATTCCAAATTTGTGGACATGACAATTAATCTAAGCTCAATACTTTACACAACAGGGATACAGAAACACTTTCCGCTTTCCATTTTCGTCTTTATTGACTCTTTTGTTGTCTTGGCTTCACAAGACAGGGGTGGCCATATAGTACGCTTTCGCGCCAAAATAACCCAACATTTGGCATCGGCTTACATGAGGTGTGTGTACGGAAGGACAGGTGGGCAGGCGTACACTGTGTCATAACCAAATTTTCTTGCTTTTATAGGTTTCCAATTCATCTTAGTAATGGGGCTCCGCAGCACGTGCACGCGTGGAAGTTTCGCTGTAACAGTGGAGTACCTAACAACTTTATTTTATTAAAAATATCTGTAAGTTGTCTGTTTTTAGTACCTGGTGCTTGTTGGGCTTGGAGACGGCAGCTGGAAAAAGAATGAGAAGATTAAAATTAGTAAAATATAACTTACTTTTTCATTTGTGATAAAAATGAACCTTCACTAGTGTGGAGCATGTTGTGACCCTTTCACTTGGCAACATTTGCCAAGATAGTAATTTTTTATTTATGTCAAGACTGTTTGATAGACAATACACAGTTCGACAATATTTTTCACACACTCAAAAATTTGATCCTTATATGACTGAGTTGATATCAAGAGTGGACTAATACATGTACATGTAACTGTTAATTTTTTGTTTCAGTTAATTTTTATTTTTCCATTGTTTTTTGAATATGGTAATGTATGCTAATGAATTTAAAACAAAGGAAAAACAAAAATTAAGTGAAATAAAAAAATTAACTGCAACATATAAGCACAGTGTATTTGCAGATAATGCAACTAAGCAAATATAAAATGCACAAGAATTAAGTAAATAAAAAACATATTTTTATTCAGCAGTTCTGACTTACCTCTGGGGTGCCAATTGGTGTCTGAATCAGTGATTTTGAACCAAATCCCGCCAACATTGATTTTTCTACCTTGTGAGTGGGTGTCTTTGGGGGTGGTGGTGGGGGTGTCCACTTGAAAACAGAAGAAAAATGGAATATAAATTAAAATTCAGTATACCCCGACAATACTTCCCCCATACCTGCCATGTACAGCAGGGCTTTAAAAAGAAACTGAATTCCAGCTCACCCTTAGGAGAAGAATCTCTCAAATTTTACTTTCCCCAGACAAGTCTTAAATAAATTCACTTTTCAACTTTAATTTAGTGGGCAGATAACTTCCCTGGGCCCTTGGCCTTCAGGAAAATGAGAATGAAAAGTTACTTGCTCGGCAGGAAATTCTACTAGTCCCTGGTGACCAGACAGCACTTTTTTTGAGCCTTGGATATGAAGTAACTGGCATTACAGGTGGTGGGCAAAACGCTGACCCCCCAGTCCATAAGTACCCCCATCGACTTCCCAAATGGTTTTCCCTGAAATAGACTATGCCCCTGAAGTCTAATGATTAGGGTTAGGAGACTGAATGAATCAAGTTTTAAGTCAGTTTTCCCAGTATAATGACCCTAAATGAAACCTTATTCACTCACTTTCCTAGCCTTAATCACTAAGCCTCAGTGGCATAGTCCATTTTAGGGTAGTCCATATGGGTAGTCCACGGAGAGATAGTCCATATTAAGATACAGGGCTCTTGTTTTACTTACTGAGAAAGGCTTGGATGTAAGAGTTTGTCCCTCAGCCTGTTGCAGGAATTCTGATCGCTCCCAGACAAACCAAATATCATGACACACCAAGCACCATAATAAGTCAAATACCTGTCAATCATCATGGAGGAAATTAGCATACCACAATGTTTAAGATTCACAGCAATATGAATATTTTTCATGCCTCGCTAAACAAAGTTCATGAATACTGAAAATCAGGACTGGGTTACTGTTCATCTTCTCTGCACCTTGATAGTGAGGACGCTTTAATATACGGAATTTCAATCTTAATGATTCATGTACCTGGTCTGCGCACCGCATGGCAAACATTCTAGAATCCACATATGTGTCCTTAGAGATTATCTTTCTGTAAAGAAATCAAATAAAAATTTTTCTTTCTTTAGGAAAACTACAAATCCTGTTTAAGCACAGAAACTACTTGTCCACACAGACAATAAAGTGAGCAGTTTTCAAATAAAGCATTGGGTATCTCTGAGGATGCTCACTGAGACTAAAAATCAAAATGATAATTGTTTTTATTATTCAACCCACGCATGCTTCAGCTCCTTAACAATCCACTCAACTCTTGTAGTCTTTTGCTGCTGGGTTAACCTAGAAAATAAAATTTGACACCAGTAACAATATTTTGTTGTACTACAAACTAAGGCAAGACATTTTAACTAGCAACACACTGAGTCAAGTCCCTTTATTGAGGACACTCTTGAACAGGACTCCTGCAAGTGAAAGCACCGTGACGATTCTTTAACCCTTTAAGCCCCAATATCCACATACAAATTCTCCCCACTGATCTCTACACATTTCCTTTAAGAATTAGTTGAGAGAATTTGATAAAAGATCATGGAATTTTCTCTATGATGATCATTTTATTCATTCTCATAACTTTATCTCTTGACAGTGTATGGATATTGTTAGGAGAAAATTGTTGTTGGTCACTATTGGTACTTAAAGGGTTAATAGCAAGAGCTTATTTCAGTAACATCTGTGATTCATTTTTTCTAGGGTTACAGTAATTACTGTCTGTATCATGGGGATGTCGACAATAGGATGGTGTCCACAAGACAGGAGTTCCTTATACTCACAGTCAGTAGATAATTCTATAATTCCCAACTCTGCCACTTATAAGCAAGTGAAAACTAATGTAGTGAAGGGACCAATCACAATGCATGTCCACTTTTGCTTCTGACTCTGATTATAGGAATGATGTCTTTGCTAGATCATAACACTCTGTACTTCTGATTATGAGTCTAAATCCATTGCTAGATAGAATGAGCCTTTACTAATACGGGTCAGCATTATTACAGCACATTAAGTCATTCTGCACTGTACAAGGAGAAAATAACAGTTTGAGTTTTCCACATACCCATCAAAACTTTGCAGTTTTTCCAGGGGCTTTCCAGTTAAACCTAGAAGACAAGGGTGATGACAAGCAAATGAGATTATGGGCTTGACATGCTTGAATTTACAGTTCATTATATACGGGTATATATGCTTTATCATCCTTATCTGAGAAGACTAGAGAGTTATTTATTTCAAAACCCCAAGAGTTGGTGTGGTGAAGTTTTGAGCCCAAAGCCTGCGGCACAGCAGACAAGTGCATATGCACTGCGTTAACTCAGTGGCATTAATATGCCTATGGCTGGCCCAGACATAAGAATGTCTGAGCTGATGTGAATGTGACTGTGCACCATCTCTACTTTGTATGCTTATCTCCAACCTTCACTGGAAGTAACACTTACTTTCAAGAAGCACCTTCATGTTGTATCCCTTCAGTAAATCTGTCAGGATGTTATGCATAAAGTGACCAGAAGGTGACAGTCTGAGATTCACCCAGGCAGTGAAACCATTGATCCTGGTCCGTAAAGACATTGTAACCTCTAGAAGAGCAACTGTGATGTGGTCTTCAATCTATCTCCAGATGATAATCTGACAGCTCTAACTGGTTGAAAATCTCAAGGATCCAGCTTCACTTGCATAACAGTAGTTATAAAATCTCCATTAAAGTGTGCTCTCCATGGTTAAAATGATTTACCAAGTTTCCTTTAAGTCTAAGATCTTTTGGAGTTTTGAGACATCCCCATACAGTGCGGTTAATTTTTGCTTGCAGTATGAGCTCAGAATCTTCACAACTAGTGTTGAATATAAGAATCCAAGAAAATAAAGCAGCAACAAAAGAGAATTCCGTGGCAGACCAAGCAAGTCAAGTGAACGGTTCTCTTGTGTTATCTTCCAGATCCCGAAATGAATCAAAGATGATGATCTTGAAATTAATGCAAACTTTTGCCTCTTGGCAACATAAAGACAACTATAAACAAACCAGGAATCACATCCAAAACGCTATCTCTCTAGAACCAAATTTTTAAATTAGAAATATTGACGGAAGGCTCTTTGATTTTCACCACATTTTAAGTCCCAAAGTCTCCCTACACAACAACAAAAAGTTATAGAATTCTCGAATGTTTTGCAAACACAACTCGGTCGCCATCTTGGTTCTAGAACACTGGCTACCAGGTCTTAGGCCGCGCGATTTCCGCCCCAGTCCCTCACTCTTTCCAGCCGGGCCGAAGAAAATGGAAAACAACCGAGCGTGACAAAAAGGAACAAAATCAATAGCTTTCACTTCACCGATGCGTTTGTCACTCCGTTTCATGATGACTCAAGCAGTTCAAACATACGATTATCTTGTAATCGGTGGAGGTTCCGGTGGTCTTGCTAGCGCTCGTAGAGCTGCACTACTTGGCGCCAAAGCTGCCGTTATCGAACATGGAAGACTTGGGGGAACATGCGTAAGTAAACTTTATCAGCCATCTTTCAGAGCTACTGATACTAAAGCGAGATCTGTTTGTTCTGCGGAGCTGGTCCTACGGCAGTGATATTGGCCCGGTTTACGCCCATAAGTTGGCAGAGATTTCATCGATTTTCCAGAGAATTTTGTCTGAATGTTGCCTTCCTCTTCGTTTGATTACATTTGTCACCCATCAACAGGGAGGCATCAAATTTTGGCATAAAAGGTGTAATATTTCAGTCAGAGGTGTGAAAAAGTCATGAAGCCTTGACAGCATCAAAATAGGCGAGGATTGCCTTTTGAATTTTATTTTTTGCTTCCCACAAATTCGCATGTTATCAAGATCAGATGCGCTGATAGCGTTTACTTTTTTCCAAAACTAAATACTACATTATTAGATCGAGAGATGAGTACAGTACGGTTGCAGTAGTTCGTGTTTATTAACTTGATGTGCAATCTTTTTAATGTGCGGTGAATGAAAGGCAAAGATCAGTAGGTTTTAAACCATTGATTTGCAATTTAAACTGACCGCTCAGAATATCCAAAAGAGACAAAATGAGAAGGAAACAACGTGACATAGCATTAAATTAACATTAATTTATTAAAGAAATATATTGCACAGTCATTGTAGACAACATATTCATCCATTATAAATAATTGTCACACTTGTCAACCACTTAATGTTGTCAGTACTTTTACTGATCCGTTGGGTGGGTGGGGGAGGTAATCCCACATGATTTATCTAGAGGGGGGCCTGAGTGCCCATGACCCCCTTTTGCGAGAAGCATCTCTTTTTCTAGCAAGTTGATATACAAGCCAAAATCCACAAAACAGTCCTTAAATTCACTGCATTTGAGTGAAGGAATCTTAGCCATCTTATTTCCTAATTTTATTTAAAACTATTGAGTGAAAGTTCACTTTGTTGAAATTTAAGTCATCACATTAAGGGCCCGTGTACATGGAGGTGGGGAACCCCAGGCAGGGGGTAACCTGCCTGTCCATATCTCTCATTTTAATTTGATCATGTTTACATGATTATATGGACAGGCGAATAACCCACCTAAGCATGTTACCTAATCTTCCTAACACATTCCTGTCCATTTCTTCTTTTTTACCAGGTTAATGTAGGATGTGTTCCCAAGAAGGTTAGTGATTCTTCTGGATGATCACCATCCAGCAGTAATGTTAGGGACGGTTCATTATTTATGGGAATGACCGGGTTGGGAAAAAACCGAACGGGCTTTGAAAATTTTTCTTGCCGTGGCAACGGGCTTTGTGTTTTTTTCTTGAACAAAGAGACCGGGCTTTAAAAAAATCAACATAAACTAAAACTGTGGTAGAAACGCGGCAGTCGTTTGATGAGAACAACACATGGAAACTGTATTCGTCATTGAAAATTCACCGGGTAAATTGTGGTACTTTCATATCAAATAAATATTGCTACAATATTTTTGGTAATGCAGGGATATACCCTCAAGAAAAAGCTCGCGCTTTGCGATCAAACACTCGAGAATTTTGACAGGCCACGGAATGACACAAATGTACTTTGTGAGCTGCTCTTTTATAGTTGTTTATATTCCTTGACATTTCAGAGCTTGTAATCAAATTAGAATTTCAAATGATGCACGGACAAGGATTTTACTCAAAGTGAACTCCAACGGTTGGAATATTAAATCTTCGGACTCCGCCAGACTGTACACAAGAAAACAAAATGTTTTGATCGAGGATCTCAAGTTGCAACTCCTACTGAATTGAAAATATTTTTTCTGCACGCACCACAGTGCTCTCCTTGCTGAAAAAATTGAAGCTGACACCTTTTTTTTCAACAAGAGTAATCTTAAGGAATGCCAATCTGCGACTCAGAATAAGAAATCGTGTGTCCCTGGAAGTGCGTACATTAAAAAAATTCTACGATTCATCGATTCCCATTACAAAATTGGTGAGCTCTTTATGGAGTACTTGTACGGTGACCATTCTACAGCCATCACTGAACGTTGTTCATTTTGTTCTAACAAAGGATGGACAAGTCCAGTGCCCATGAAACGTATTCCCCAGCCTGTGCCAGATCCTGAAAATCCTACCCATTTTAAATCGGTCAATGACACACCAACTACCACAGAAAACGGGCAGCCTCGAGTGCCCGATGATTTTCAGCCACATGCAAACATAAAGAAAATGTTTAGTGACGGCATGTTAACAACGGAAGAAGAGCAGTTTTCGGAGAAATTTGCCGTGGAGCCGCACTTGATCAAGGCATACATTGCCTATTTAGAAGATCTTAAAATACAAAGCGGCATTAGAACAAGGGGGCACGCAGAACAAAAGCGTAAAATGATGTCCAAAACGTTTGAAGAAAATGTCTGGCGCGATCTCGTAGAGTCTGGAGATTTAAAAAAGTTGCTTGTATCTGAGCTGAATAAATACCTTAAACATTACAAACTCGTAAGCAGCGGCACCAAAGCTGAAAAGATACGGAGAGTCTCGTTGCATGTGCTTCGCGGGAACCATGGTCAACAGGAAGATGCGAATGAGTTTACTGACCAGGAGACAAAGGAATGTGGAACGGAAGATGACAGCGAGGAAATTGACAGCTCAGGGAACGATGAAAGTGAGGAGGATATTGTGTTCAAAGATATATTTAGGACTTTTTCACTTATTTGGCAAACAATGAAACGCCTCAAGCTGGATGGCATTTGTTAACGTGCACTTTTCACAGATGTTAATAAATTATTGTTTGTAATCGCTGAACTCGTTTGATAGCCGTTTGCTGACTTGAACGGCTAACAGCTGTGTATTTGATCTGAACATGCACTAGTTGCTCTAGTCTTAAATAAACATTGAATGATTTTCACAAGGTACTCACTTCAATTTGAACAGGCTTTTGAAAAATTTGACCCCAAATACTGAACGGGCTATGAAAAAACAAAATGCCTTTTGGGCGGGCTTTAGAAAGAAAGAGGAAAGCTATAATTTTTTTCCCAACCCGGTCATCCTCATAAATAATGAACCGTCCCTTAGTTTATTCTTAACTTATTAAATACTCTGCAAATGAAGGAAACAATGCTTTCATTTATATTCTAAGCAGACCTCTCAGGGAAATTATCCACTTATAAATAAACTGGCCCTGGTTGTTCAAATGTTGGATAAATCATAATGCAATTCACCAGATAAATAACTATCCAGCATAAAGTATTAGGGAACCCAATTGCGTTATCGACTGGATAGAGATTTACCCACTGGAGAGCGCTAACCACTTTACGAACAACTCGGCCCTGGAGTACATCAAGCTATGATAACTGGTTGTCACATCCTTCTTCAGACAGACCTAACTGTAGCAAACATGAATATATTAATAGATTTTTGAATACTTGTCACAACTCTCTTCCTCGTGAATTTTTTTTATCATAAAAATAATAACGCACCCTCCTGGTGCAATATTGCTCTACATATTAATGTCATTATCTTTTGCTTCCCTGTAGGTGATGTTTAACACTGCCGTGCATGCTGAATATATCCATGATCATGCGGATTATGGGTTTGATGTCACTCTGAACAACTTCTCTTGGGAGTAAGCATATATTTTGTTCTCAAATCCATCAGCAGCAGCTGACTAAAAATTTTTCAATGTACTAAACATTCTTAATGAGAAAAGTGTGTAATATTATGGTTTTTATTATAGGTCAGTGAAAAATTCAAGAGATGCTTATGTCAAGAGACTAAATGGCATTTATGAAAACAATTTGCAAAAGGTAATACTTTCTATTGTAAATTAAAATATTGATTAGAATATTATAGTTTTAGTGTTTTTCTTGGTAAGAGAATTTGCAGCCAAATAATTNCAGGGAAATTATCCACTTATAAATAAACTGGCCCTGGTTGTTCAAATGTTGGATAAATCATAATGCAATTCACCAGATAAATAACTATCCAGCATAAAGTATTAGGGAACCCAATTGCGTTATCGACTGGATAGAGATTTACCCACTGGAGAGCGCTAACCACTTTACGAACAACTCGGCCCTGGAGTACATCAAGCTATGATAACTGGTTGTCACATCCTTCTTCAGACAGACCTAACTGTAGCAAACATGAATATATTAATAGATTTTTGAATACTTGTCACAACTCTCTTCCTCGTGAATTTTTTTTATCATAAAAATAATAACGCACCCTCCTGGTGCAATATTGCTCTACATATTAATGTCATTATCTTTTGCTTCCCTGTAGGTGATGTTTAACACTGCCGTGCATGCTGAATATATCCATGATCATGCGGATTATGGGTTTGATGTCACTCTGAACAACTTCTCTTGGGAGTAAGCATATATTTTGTTCTCAAATCCATCAGCAGCAGCTGACTAAAAATTTTTCAATGTACTAAACATTCTTAATGAGAAAAGTGTGTAATATTATGGTTTTTATTATAGGTCAGTGAAAAATTCAAGAGATGCTTATGTCAAGAGACTAAATGGCATTTATGAAAACAATTTGCAAAAGGTAATACTTTCTATTGTAAATTAAAATATTGATTAGAATATTATAGTTTTAGTGTTTTTCTTGGTAAGAGAATTTGCAGCCAAATAATTAGGAGGAGTTAAAAAAGCTCTTTTAAAAAATTTGGACTTCACTGTTACAGTAACCTTTGATCGATTGATTGATTGATTGATTGATTGATTGATTGATTGATTGATTGATTTTACTATAACTTGGAAGAGTTTAATTGGTTTTTACTGTACATTAATTTTAAAGGACAAGGTGGAGTATATTGTTGGCCATGCAGTGTTCACACCAGAGGGAAGTGTTAAAGTTGGTGACAATGTGTACAGTGCCAAACACATTCTGATTGCTTGCGGAGGGCGACCAACCGTACCCAATTTTCAAGGTGAGACATGAGGATAACCAATGCAAAATTTGTGTTAGTTTAATAATAATTTGTTATATGATAATATTATCAGCATTTTGCACAAATTCTCAGTGATTGTGAAAGAAAAAACTGCTAAGCTGACATTTACTAGTTGAATAACAAACCACATTCCTGCATTTCATAAGATCAAGGTCAAATGTTAATTTTAATAAGCTTAATCACAAGATTGCATAATTTTGTGCAAAATACAGAAGCTTAATCTGGATAAATCAAGCATTGGCTTATTTTTGACTTTTTTCTTTACTGAATAGTTTCACCAGAAAAAAAAAATAATTAAAGAAGCACAAAAATCCATCAACTCTGCCTGTTCACATACACCCTGTAGATAGCAATTACCTTTGATGAACCTGCAGTTTGCTCAATTTATTCCCAACAGGCTGCCAGTATGGTATCACCAGTGATGGCTTCTTTGAATTAGAGGATCTTCCAAAGTACGTAGCTGTCAGTGATGTGATGATCCTTGATTATTAAATTGTCTAGATGGTTCTCCATGAATTTTCAGGCTTAGTGTCTTCCTCTGGTACCCTGGAACTCAACTCTTAACCCGCAAAAAAACATGATGAAATGCATCTTAGACTAGTCCAAGGACCAAACTATTAACTATAAACTAGACTGGAACTAGTACTCTCCCCAATCTTCCACTGCAGCTACAGGCTTTTTCCCCCAAAATCATACCCATTCTGTGCTTCTTTTTTTAACAAGTGGTACTTTTTTTATATTTAATTATTTTACCATCAGGAAAGTAGCCGTCATCGGAGCAGGGTATATAGCAGTGGAGCTTGCGGGAATATTGAATGCTCTTGGTTCTAAGGTCTCATCACTAATCAGATATGATAAGGTAACCATTTGACAACTGTACACTACTATATGTAAATATACTACCCTGTTTAATATGATCACTAATGGACCGTTAAAATTAAGGCTTATTAACAAGGTGTCATATTAGCGAAGAGGCGTCATATTTCATGGCTAGCTTCTTTTCTCTCTTAAAATTTTAAGGGTGCCAGTGCATTGCTAATTCATTGTTGACTTTATGAAAGGACTGTTTATCTTCAAAGTGACTAATATGTAGTTACCAATGCTAATAAAATTCTAATTTCATTTGTCACTTGTCTGTCCTTTGAAAATATGCACACTTGGTTTGATTGGCTGTATTAAAGTGGTGCAGGGTTGGCACACACCTTGAAAGTCCTTGGAAAAATCAAGGCCTTGAAAATCTTTGGAAATTGCAGTTGACGTGCTGGAAAGTCCTTGAATTTCGGTGCTAACTTTATCCATCCCAGATTCTCAAGTGCCTAATATGAAAATCAAATTACTGATGTTGTGGAAGAACTAAAAAGACTTAGTGGACTCCAGGTTCTTTTTTGCACTGAATAGAGTCTTTGAAAAATGGGAAAGGTGTCCTTGAAAGTCCTTGAATTTTTTTGTTCAAAAAAGAGTACAAACCGTGGTGGTGAATTTGTGGAGAAATGTGTACGTGGGAATTTGATGTTAATGTGGCTGTTGGCTGTGTTAATGAGGTTTTCTTTTAAACAAAGTGGCCGTATGGCACTTTTAAAGTCTTAGATGCCATTTTTGCTGGTTTGTACCGTTATGAAACTATGCCATACTTTTTACCATCTAAAACGTCTCACGTAAATTAATCCTGTAACTCGCTCCTCTGATCAGACTCCATTAGCTATTTCTTTTTAAGCAGTTAGTTCTGCTTTGTTTACAGTTACCACTTGTTTCGCCAACCAAATACAGAAGTGCAGAATAAATTAAAGATCAAACTCATTATGATATGCCGCTTTGCTTTATGCGACAGGTTCTTCGAACTTTTGACTCGATGCTAAGTGAAGGAGTCACCAATGAGATGGTTAAAGCTGGAATTGACCTGCATACTCACACAACTGTACGTGAAGCAATAGCACGTACGACAGGCATTTCCGGGGACGCTCAAGTGGTTTGGGGTGTAAGTGCGAAGCGCGAGACACGGAAGTAAAAGGCAACGGAAAAATTACCTTTTTCCGTCTCTCGTGCTTTGCGCTTTGCGCCCTAATATTTTCCTGAGTGTCCCCAATGATGCCTGTCGTGTCAATGCTTTTTTGCGCATTTGCGTGTATCTACTACCTTTGAGAAAACAATTCGTAGTCAAGCGCTCATTTTGTTGTTCTTGTCCATTTTTAAAATGGGCATGGCTCATCACGAGACTTCAGCCTTCGTGAATCGTACTATATCGTAAAAGAAACTTGGCGTCTATTTTTGTTATGGTTATAAAGTGGATTGTTATAAAGCTTAGAAGGTCTTTTACAGACCCACATAACGTTTATAATCGTTCGTTTCGTATCGTTTCTAAACTTCGTGTGGAGTGGCGTTTCACGTGCGCATAAATACTGAGCTTGGTCTGCCTGTGGTTGATCTCTTGGAAGACGGAAAATTGCCTGGGCGACTGAAAGCTTGTTATTTGCTCCACTTCCGGGAATCACCCTTCTCTCTAAGTTTTTCTCTTTAATTCAAAACTGGATTGTTTTAATTGTGGTTGATATTTCCTTCCAGATGGAAGAGATCACAAAAGACAGCGCCAGTGGTCTAATGACGCTACACACATTGAAGAACAAAAAAGACAAGGTTGCCTTATCTGGGTATGACTGCGTCATATTAGCTATCGGGAGAGTTCCAAACACTGACACTCTCAGTTTAGATGGTCTGGTAAGTTGAAAGACTTATAAATAGGAAAATAATGGCCGATTCTCAGAGGTGTTCTTATGATCATGAAATGTTAACCAAATTTAGGACTTATCTGGTCATGGAATTGACTGAGGCTATGTTTGCTTCTTTATAGCGGATAGCTTTTGCGACGGCACAAAAACCATACCGGATAGGCGCGAATTTTGTAACGGAGCGACGCTACACCGCGCCGATCTCCAGAGTGGGGAGTCACTTATCGGATAGGTGTTCATACTCTGATACTGGATAGCTTTTCATGTCGGCTCGAAAAACTATCCAGCACAGTGTGAATCTTTCTTTGTTAACTTACATAATTTAGTGTCAATAATTAAAAAAACTTTTTACTATTTTGTTTTGCCTCTTTGAAGGGTTCAGGGCTCTAGTTTTTGATAAAATTAAACAAAACCACGATATATCGTCAAAACATTAGGAACCTTAAGATCCGACGACGGTGACCGTAACGAGAACGTCACAAAACCAATAGGTTTGATAACCAAAACTACAATTTGCTCGGGTATCACGCTATTTTGCACATTTCTTTGCCGTCACTGCTAGCACGACTACGACGTGAAAATGCCTAATTTCACGTTGTACAGAGGAAGTTCACAAGCGACTACGAAATTTCCTCCCTCTTTCTGAATTTGAATATGGTTGTTAGGAATTCAGCTTCAGAAGGGTTCAGCTACATTTGACAAAGTTAGTGACTTGGAGTAATCGCGATGAAGATTGAAAGAACGTGAATTCACTTTTTCAGCGACGTTTTTTCTGCCGTCGCCATCCTCGGATCTTAGGTCCCTATTGAGTTGGACGACACGACGCCCTATTACCATCACAAGTCACACTCACTTTTGATTCTCTTCTCTTGTAGGGCATAAATCTGGACAAAAAGGGACATATCTTGGTTGACGAGGTATGTCTATGAACTCACCAGTCTTAAATTTTGCCCTAAACCTAGCTAAAACCAAAGAAAGTTATTTTGCTTACAGTGTAAAAGCCCTGTCCGTGAGTTATTAGCCTGCGCCACAGACGAAACTTTCTAACTCTGGTAAAATTACGTCTGCGATGCAGGTTATGAGTTATCCGGTAGTCATACTGTTCTTTTTTTTTCAGTTCCAAAACACGTCAAAACCCGGTGTCTATGCATTGGGAGATGTATGTGGAAGGGCTTTACTCACGCCTGTGGCAATCGCAGCGGGAAGGAAATTAGCTCACAGATTGTTCGACGGCAAGACAGATTGGAAGTTGGATTATGACAATATTCCAACTGTCGTATTCAGTCATCCACCATTAGGAACTGTTGGACTAACACAAGGTACCGCGATATTTAGCTTGCGTGCCGGGCAGGCGTTCGAAAACAAAGGGATTGGTGAATTCGAGCTCGCGAGAAGCGCGAAGGGCGCGCGAGGGGGAATTAGAATTCTGTTGCAGCCCAAATCTTGGCCACATGAGAAGCGGAACAAACTTCCACAGTGATACGTAAAAACTTTGAGAAATTTTTGGGCGACTAGGAAATCTTATTTTTTCATAAAAACCACATGATGGGCACCCTGGATTTCACAGGTTAAGAACAGCCTGGCATACAAATTTAGATAAACTTTGAAAAAGATCTAGTAAACGTCTTTTCCGTTTACCCGAATGCGCTGCGTTGCAAATCCTCCTAGTTCATGTCCATTTATTTATTTATTTTCTTTTTTTGTTTACTTCAGAGGAAGCCGAAGAGAAATACGGGAAAGATAAAATAAAGGTTTACAAAACATCTTTCACCAACATGTATCACGCACTTACAAAGCGCAAAACGGGAACACTGATGAAGCTTGTTTGCCTTCTACCGGAAGAAAAGGTGAGGCGAAATGTATAACATCTTTTTTGATATTTTTTGGTCTTCCTTGACAGTGAAAACTTGTTCGTGTGAGTCAGGCTTTCACTGGTTGCTTGTTTTTGTTGTGGTTGTTGTTTGTTTTCATAATTTCCAGTTGCACGTGCAAATCGTGTTGCTCTGTCATCCACGTGCAAATTGCACGTGCATATTGTTGCGTGCAAAACGTGCATATTGGTTTGACAAACCTGCATGTAAGGATTGTTTTTCAGGTTTCCTTCATACAAATGTTTTCATTTTTCATCATTTCTCTTCTTTTCCCTCAGGTCATTGGACTGCACATTTTGGGAATAGGCTGCGATGAAATGCTGCAGGGCTTTTCCGTAGCGGTTAAAATGGGAGCAACAAAGAAAGATTTTGATGCTACTGTGGCGATTCACCCTACATCCTCTGAAGAACTGGTTACAATGCGCTGATTCGATTTAGCATAACAGTGGAACCTAGATATAACGTTAGGCCTTGGGACGTGCAAATCTGTTCGCTTGTACGAGGTTTCGTTATATCGAGGTTCTTTTTCATATATTTTACTGTTAAAAATCGTTCGAAAATCGTTCGTTTTACCGATGACTTCTTTATATCGAGGTTCCACTGTATTACATACCTTGTATTTACAGACTCTTTACAGACCAATCACAAGTAAAACCAAAACAAATCGTGGTTTCCCATACGTATTTTCCCGCGCTTCCAGCGCCGTATGCAGAAATTCACCCCGAACCATCGCCTAGAATGCTACTGTTTCTCGTAACTGGCACTTATAGTGCCCAATTCTCAGTTGTGCACATTCGTCAGATCAGAGGTGTGATTGGCTCTGTAGATTTTCCACGTGATCTCTGATTCGTCAAATTTTATATTATGTGCTTGTGTTTTGTTTTCGTTTTACAAACGAAACTTGTTTTGTACCCGCTGATACAAATAGTTTAAGCTCAGTTAGAAAATTTTGCACTGGAAAATCTGGCCAACAGCCTGTTGTAAAATATGTCAATAAAAGAGTGACAGAGCGGTGAAACGCAAATGACTTGTGTAAGGCATGTACTTTGTGCAACGTTTAAACGTGTAGTTTTACGCGTTTATAGGGATACAGTGCGCAGTTTTACTGATTTGTAGATAAGTATATCTAGCCGCGTTTTTGAGAATTTGCAGCTATTTGAGTGAAAAAGGGCAAAATGGCAGATTTTTTGCGTCCAATAAGCTCGAAAATAACAATTTCAAAGGAAAAAGAACTAGAAAAAGCGAGGATGACGAAAGGAAAATCAATGATTGCACTCTTAGTTTTTATATTAGGCACTTTGGAGATTTTTTT